CCCTGAGCGCTACCACAAAGCAGCAGGCAGCCGGCTCACTCTGTCCCTGGTGAGAGCTGCCAGCCCTGGGGGACCCCCTCCTCCTGCCCCTGCGCTCCCCTTCCTCCCTTCATGACACCCCTCATTGCTGATCCCCTGCACATCCCTTCATCCCCTACAGAGCCACAGCTCTGTTGCATCCATCCCCTGTGCATCCCTCCATCTCCTACAGAGCCACGGTCCATTTCATCCCTCCATCTCTTACAGAGCTGCTCCTGATCCATCCCCTATACAGCCCTGAATCCCCTATAGAGCACCATACCTTAACCAAGCCCCTACGTGGCCCTCCATTTCCTACACAGCCACACCTTATCCATCTCCTACATCCCCTGCAGCGCATCACGCCTCATCCTGCAGTCTTCACCCTCCCTGCAGATGGTGCAGAGCTTGTTCTGCCCCTTCAGAGCTTGTTCTGCCCCATCGTTTGCACACCCCCAGCTATGCCTGCCCTGCTCCATCTGTGCCTGTCACCCCCCACTCCAGGGTACCCATCCTTAACCCCCTCCTTCCCCGCAGCGTGGCTCCAGTTATGGCTCCCTGATGACCACCCATGGCAAGTACCAGATCTTCGCCAACACCGGCCACTTCAAGGTCAGTGCAACAGGCAGGGGAGCTGAGCCCTCCCCTTGAAACCCTGCAGCCCTGTTGGAGTGCTCCCCTTTGGCTGCACCACCACCCTGCAGGATGCTGGCACCTTCCCCCTCCTCCCCAAATCTGCCAGTGGGTCCTGACATCTTCCCCCTCCCTGATACCCTAGGGTAACGTGGTGGCCATCAAGCACATCAACAAGAAGCGCATCGAGCTGACGCGGCAGGTTCTCTTTGAGCTGAAACATGTAGGTTTTGGGTCTGGGCTGGGCTGGGCACCCTGCTTAGGGGTGCAGGGCCTGGTCCTGGCAAGGGGAGCTGTTGGGAACTGTTCCCTCTGACCTCAAGCCCATTTTTGGCTCCACTTCCACCTCCAGATGCGGGACATCCAGTTCAACCACCTGACCCGCTTCATCGGGGCATGCATCGACCCCCCCAACATCTGCATTGTCACCGAGTACTGCCCGCGGGGCAGCCTGCAGGTAGGGGGCTTGGGGTCACCAGAGGTGACACTGTTGGTGACCCAGTTGAGCTGGGAATTGAGGACAGGGCTGTAAATGGTGGTGGCACCCAAGCCCCACAAGACTTGCAGCAGAGTTGCACTCAGAGGCCGGTGGAGGGGATGGAGGGAGTGCTGGAGAGCCCCCCAGTAGCTGTGTGCTTGGCTCGTGCTGTGCCACCATCCCCTGGGTCCTTGGCGGGGTCCACTCAATGGATGGGTCCATCCCCAGGATGTCCTGGAGAACGAGAGCATCAATCTGGACTGGATGTTTCGCTACTCCCTCATCAATGACATTGTCAAGGTACCCAAGCAAGGGGCACGAGGGGCTGGGTGAGGTACCTGAGGGGTGTAGGCTTCACCATGCCTGTCTGCCACAGGGGATGGCCTTCCTGCACAACAGCATCATTGGGCACCATGGCAGCCTGAAGTCATC